ATCATATCTTGTATAACACCCCCCACCGCGATTCTTTTTCAGGTGTCCGGTTGGTTGCCTGTTGGAGTCTTCCATGGTCGCCGCTCTTAATTTCGGGCCTTTTTTTGGCCTTCTGCCCACAAAGCGAAACAGTGTTCCTCTCCCATTATGGGTCGACCCCAATATGATCATTCCCTTGGGCCCAGGAAGTGTCTTGACATAGCCATGTAAGCTGGGTGGGACACCTGGCCGGTTGACTCGTGAGCCAAGCTCTTCAACCGGCCAGGATGTGCTGCAATGATCGGCGTTGCGTAGATTTGTCCCCGGTTGGACGGCTTCGACTGGCCCCCTTGTCTTCCTGTCCCTCTAGGGTTGAACACGATCCCGTCTGTGATGCTCTGGCAGTCCGGTGCTTTTCTGCACCCATTTCATCAGGCGAATCTATCTCAAGTAAATACATACATAATCCTCGGCTCATTTGGCTCAGTGGACCTTGCAAGGGTTGAGTATAGAAGTACGGGTCGACTGGAGAATACCCACAAAAAACCAGTTGCACACAGTCTGGATTACTTCACATTTAGGGATTTGATGCCTGTATGACATTACGGCCCGCTATGTTTATATATGATGAGTTCATTGGAAACTTATTTGCATGTAGAGAAAGAGGTGGTCAATTTTTTTGAAGGTCAATCTGGCTCCAAAAAACCGCTTTTCACACAGATCAGGATGGCCACTCAGAGTAAAGGATTTCAAGGGAGAAAAATTCCAGTCTTAGATTTGGGGAGTAAACAGAAGGGGCCATCACCCCCCCCCCCCCCTCCAAAAAAAAAAAGGAGGGAAAATGGTCACAACAGATCAATGGAAATAAGGTCAAGATTGATGAGGTAGATTGTTTGAAAGGAGAGTGAAAGTGTGAATCTATCAGATCAGAAGGGGCGGGGGCCAAATGGTGCTTGGAAGTTGAGAGACTACAACATTTGAGATTCTGAGAGTAAATTCACACATAAAAAAGATCAAAGTTGATAGAACTCCATCAGAAAAATCTGGCAGAGAAAGGGAAGTGAAGAAAGCAAATAAAAGAAAGTTGCACAGGTTGAAACAATTTTATTTGGGTTTTTTTTTGTTGATTTTTCTTGACAAAAAAGAAGAGAACAATGGAAATGATATTGCCTGTCTCCATGGGTACAAGGGAAGTTGAGAGGAAGTTTTTTGGGTGATTTGGTCTTCATCCTTTTCTAGTATAGAATCTATATAATCATTTCAATTTCCAATTTGGGGGCTGTCTGGTGATTAAAGATGAACAACTCAAACCAATCATCCAAGTGAAGAAGTGGATGGAGCAGAAAGTTTGTGTCAAGGACTTTTTCAAACACATACACCCAAGCCTTTTTAACTTGATTTTCTTTTTCAGAAAGAAACAAGAATGTGTACATAAATATGGAGTGAGAATGAGCTTCACATGATAGTACAGCATGATTTCTTTTCTCCAGATGTTGCTGTTCCTGTTCTGATGGGGCCATGTTTTTTACTCATTCCCCCAGTATTTGGGAATCTGTATCTATCCATCCCTTTTATGAGATTGTTGGTGAGTATGAAAGTCAGGAAGTAAAACAAGACTGAAATCTTTGAGAACATTTTGGATAGTTTATAATAAAAGTAATGCTGATTGGTACTATAGTACTAGAGAGATGTCTTACTCAATGATGAGGTGAAGGAGAAATAGACCCTGTGGGCTTGAAGGTTGGTGTTTTTATAGTCTTTGATGACAGATTCACACTTGTGCATTACTAAGATTCTTGTCGTGCAGCTGATTGACTGAGGCCCACACCGGTGGAGGCCCATAGAGCACTACCCTGAGTAGTACATCTGAATCACAAGAGGCTTCCCCGCATCCTACAGAGGATGGGACTGACAAGGAGTTTGGCCAAGTTCAACTAAACATATCTGATGGAGCGGGGAATATATCACCGCATCAACGCACTCGTCGGACAAACCAGTCCGACAAGTGCTTGGACTGACTACGACCGACGAGTGTGGCAGCCCAGAGGTCATGGTTGCAGAAATCTTTGGACAAAGTCAGTCCGAGCACCTTCCAGACTGACTTGTCCAACATCTGACAGGCCCATGTATTGTGCAACAATGGTTGAGTTAAAAATGATGAGGGTGAATTACGTTGAAGTCTGAGTCAATGTATGATAAAAGGTGGCAATGCATGATACATAAAAGGTAGGTCTGTCCTGAGAATGAAACTGTGTCCGGTCGGAGCTGCACTATCCATACCCAACCTGATGCAAAGACCATGTTTTGGCAGGTAGGGCAAAAATATCAAAAAGGCTGCACACAGTAAATTTGGCTCTGAGTCAGGTCCCAGATTGACCCAGTTGTTTTAAATGTTTGTACACTGCCATTTAAGAGCTTTATGAATCAGCAAATCCATGGATAAAACTATTATGGCCTGGTGTCACACCCACATGGGGTATGCAGATGCCAACTGAAATAATTCAGCAACCCAGAGAGCCCCTATTAATTAGGCCTTATATTGAAAAATGATTCAAAATATTTTTTTTGGTAAAAATCATACTTAGTAATACTAAAACCTGTGAAATTGGTTTCAGAAAAACGTCCCACTCATGAAACCTTTTTTGATCTGTATTTTTTTCTTTGTCAAGAAATACATGTATGACATAATTCTGTCATCATTTCTTGCAGTTATGTAAATGATTCAAAATCATTTCCCATCTTCACTTAAGGTGTTCAATGTTGAGCTGCATATAATAATCAGAGATGTAAAAATTTCTTATGCATAATTTTTATTGCTGGCAAAATTGATTGAATAGTAGGAGCTTGTTGAGGGCATTATAGTTCTAGCTGGTTGGTGCATCAGAATAAAAGAAAACCCTGGCCACATTTCTATTCTCAATCTACGTACTCAATCAAACTGTTTCATTGTTGCATCAATGTGGCATGGTCTGATGCAGTTTGTTTTTTTTAGTTTGATGGCTGTGTGGTGTACAGCAGTTCCCAGAAAGCTTGCGCTCGCGAGCTCCTGGGATCTGATTTCTTCTTATTTTCTTTCAACTTTTTTTTGCGCCTCGTAACCTGTACACATGACTGTACAGGTTGCAAATCTGCTGCCGAGGCCGGGTGAGGCCTCCGGGCACCTGTCGGTTGCCTGGTGGGGGCTGGGTACAGCGGATGTGATGACCGCTTCCAGCTCAAAAAAATGAGAGGAATCCAATGGTCCAACTCCCATATCTTCAACTTGAAAAATGGGGGAGTTGGACCTTGATGTTGGAATATTATGGCTGTATGAGGCCACGTACAGGACAGAAAAACAAAGAAAAATTGAGGCACAAAAAAAAAATTGGGATCCGAGGAGCTCGCGACAGCAAGCTTTCTGGGAACTGCTGTATGAATTCGAGGCATGTTAGGCACAAGCGCAGGTCCCGGCCCGTCGCGGCAGACCCAATTTCCAAGACATGTCAGCGGGACCATTCGATTGCCTGAGATTGCCTGTCCGACTGCGGTTACTTTCAAACTTATCACAGTATCTGGCTGAGTGGCAATCCAGCTTGCGAGATGTTGCGGCTTGTTGAGACAAAAACACGACCTGCCTCGACCCGGCATGAGTCCTTTCATGGGCCTGGGCCCTTGGTCAACCCAGCGGCTCTCGTGTCATCCGACTCGGAATTCCTCTGCCAAGGAGAGTGGGTGACCAACACCAGGCATTTGATTCGGAAGGCCGAGAGCAGTCGAGAGTGAGCGTCTCCAATCGACCCGTCAGATAGCCGGTCCGGCCGGTCCGTTGACCCAGTTTTGTGAAGTGTAGCGATTACCAAGCCTCCAAGGCCCAGAACGGCTTGCTCTTCTCCGCCCTTAAGGTTCTTACACACTGTATTTCCCTTTCCCACAGTCTCAATCCCTCCGGTGTGCCTGAGCGGTCTGAGGCGGAATCCTTCTTCCACCCGACTCTGAGAGGTTTTCTTTCCAGTGCAGTTTCGATTGAACACCTGTGTACTCAATCAGTCACCTCCCGAATGGCGCCATCCTGCCTTCTATGACAATGTCATCATCATCAATAAACTCGAGTGGGTTCTCGCTGCGATCGCATACGCAGCATACGAATATTGGATCTTAATCCTTTCAAAGTTTTTTGGTTGATCGGATATTACGTAAATGGCTGCTACACTTCATTCCGTTTGACAGCTTTTTTTTCGTTCGCCATTTCTGCGGGTATGATCGGGCCTCGTGGAATGGGTTTTCGGCCGAGTTATTTCGACTGGTTTGTCTTTCATTTTTCGGCAGCCTTTTCGGCATACTTATTCTTGAATGTATTGCTTTTGCGCTCCAGCCTTTCCGGCCTGCTGAATGCCAGCAGCCAGTCAGAGTTTCATGGAGTCGGCAAGACCCAGGAGCGGCGCTGAAACTCCGGCGACTAATTCAGACCACTGCTGGTATGATTAAAATTAACTGTGTTAACTCGACCGTCGACGATCGTGGTCGGATTTCCCATGACTTCCCCGCGCAACTTTATCCCATCAGATATGTAGATTTTTTGCTTGCAACAGGACAAAAGGGAGATAAAAAAAGTCAAGTTGTAGAAGAGAAAGGAAAAGAAAGAGTTCATAAAAGTTCATACAAAAACTGAACAGAATGTGTAGCGGTATAGGGAAAAAATCATGACTTCACTCTCACCGATCAAAACTTATCAAAACACTTTACTTTTCTTCAACTCAATTGTTTACGTAAAATCTACACAGAATGTATTAAAAAACCTTGGAATTTTATCTCCTTACAGATCTCCTTGAAATACTTATTGTACTCCCACCATGCTCAGTCTCGAGGCGTGATGATTGACGAGTAGTACCATCAGATTAGCATTTCAAAAAGCTCTCTTTAGGAGCCACATCCCTGCTTTAATCCTTCCGTGCTTTCAATTTTCTTGATCATTTTCCTACTAGCATTCGAGACACTCTGATCCCCGGTCTCTGATCACCCTTCGTTTCTTCTTGAATAATCGTTCTTGAGTCTTGATGAGTCTTGAATCAAGTTCTTCATAATAAAGAGTCTTACCAAAGTCTTGAGGGATATGGAGTCTGAGAATTCGCAAGGACCGAGTGGAAGGAGGAGGAGGAGGTACGATGGTAAGTCTTTGTTTCGAAACGTTTCTCCAACGGAATTTTGTCTGCCTGCCTGCTTGCCTTTTTTTTTTTTCTGTCTGCTTTTTTCGATTGATATCCGACAGCGGGGAATTGAAGGAACCCCAAAGCAGCTGATTGACTCAGGGGTTTTATATATATTTTTTCTGTGATGACGGTGATGTTTTCTCTTTGACACATCTTCATCGAAAGACTCCTGCTTCCAATCTCTATTTGATCATGGATGCAGACTATGTATATCGACATGGGAAGAGCAAAGGAGGCTGGGCATATCCACACTACTCGAAGGCACAGACTATGTACAACCTGCAGGGAAATGCCCTCAAAACCATCACTTCATCTCCGGTTTATTTTCACAACTTCAAACACTACACATTCCGCTATTTTTCTTTTTGTCTTATGACTGATACTGGTTGAATGCGTGTTCTTGCACGACTTTATATATACAAGAAGTGGAATGGGGAATATATGATTTTGATAGATGATCGTATGGCCGTATCCTTTTCTCGTCCTCCGATTGGGCTTATTTGCGCTAAATGGTGGCCGACAATCTTTATTGCATTGTCATGATGACTTCGTAAAATATGAGTAGTATATGACTTCTAATACTATTATAATTTCATCTCAGCTGGGGATTTAAAAGCTGCGCAAGTTCTTGATGATAAGGTGGCCGATATTGCTTCCGCATGTCACTGTGATTAAGCTTGACTGCCTTCTCAAGAGTTATGTTATCTGCCCCCCCCCAAAAAAAAAGGACAATGGATTGGGGTGAACAGCTGTCTTGTTATTTTGGCTTTGGTTTTTTCTTTTCTGTCTTTAGGAATGTTTTTCTCGTATCTGAGGAGCGCTGTTTGTGATTGTTCACTGCTCTCTTATAATGGTCAGTATTTTTCTTCTTCTTTCCTCCTTGCGACTGGTTCTATTAATTTCTATCTGGCTGTTTTCCGTGCAACTGACCGTCGTCTCTGCTAGAGTTCCTGAGATTGTGCCTCTCATCTCTCGATATCCTTTCTGTTGTTTGTCTCGATAACTTTTTTCCCTACTCATTTTCCGGCTTATATGGTGGTCGCTGTTGATCATGGATCAAATCACCATTTTGGGTTGTATCTTTTATAATGGATGTACTCCACCAAATTTATTGATCAAGAAATTAATAAATCAAGTTCCTCTGTGTCTACGTATTACACGCCATTCGTCGTATGTTTTCCCTCTCGAGGTATGTACGAGGCTTAGTGTGTGTCTGCTTTTAGGATGGATTGATGATGAGGATGGAGTCATCACGTCAGCCGGCAAGACACACTGTAGTAGCGTGTTATGTGGGATGTCTGGTGATGTTATGTTATGTTATGTGGTATGAAACTGTGCCTATATAAACTCAGAGTCAGAACTTCTCCTGCTCTTTGCTCCCTCCGATGGCCAAACCTAACAACCAACAACAACAACCACCAGCATAAGACATCTACCTCATAATATCCCAGCTGCATCATCGACTTCGTTCAATTCTAATCCTACATAATCGTCTCAGAAACCAATCCAACCTAAAGCACTCTTCACTTACTTGAACACCCCTACCCTAGTCGGAATGCCAAAGTCAAAGGCCTATTCAAACCCACTACCCTCGATGGCCGACGAACAGCGATACGGCACAAAGTGTCACGAACTACGGGCAAAGATACGAGAGATCGAACGGGTAAGTCTCGACCCCTCCAATCGAGCGTCCGATCGATCGACCCCATCTCGGTCATCCAGCACAATACTTCATAGGAATAAAATAATCCCACTCCACGAAAAACTGAAAACTGATTTTCATCCATCGATTCTTTCGCTCAGGAAAATCAAAACACGCAGCTGAAAATCTTGCAATCCAAGAAAAACGTTTCACGCTTAAGGATCGAGCGATCGTGAGTGCTCTTTTAACCAATCAAGCATACTCAACAAGAGAAGGCCTTATCTGATTACACTCTCACTCGTTTCTGTGGGCTTCCTAGGGTGCTCTACGAAGCATTGGCAACGATCACCGCCAACGCGGCCAAAGCAGCTGATTTGAATGTCCCTCCTCAAGCCCAACCATCTACCTCCAATCCCCCACTATCTACTTCAAACCCCAACCCAACTCCTTCCATCCCATCGCCCCACAACGGATTTCATCCACAAAACCTCCCACCTCCTAATAGGGCCTACAATGATCCTGCACCAAGCTCCAACAACAGTCATGGACAAGTACCTAATCGTAACTTCAGCAGATCAACAGAACCAATCCCAATGAACGGGATCACTGGATTACTGAATTCGAGTAACAATAATAATACTAATAATGCTCACCACGGACCACCCCCGCCGATCCCTCACAGTCAATATCCTCAAAACTTGCCTCTTCCAACTCAGGCGCCATCCCATAATCCTAGGATGTCTGCCAACGCGCATCAACTCGCGCCGATCTCTGCTGATCCGACGGCGAGTGCCCGATTCTCTACGGCCTCTGACAGTCCTACAGCGCCCAACAACCATTTCCCGCATCACCAACTCGGCGCTCGCTCGATGTCCGTCTCTGCTCACCACCACCACAGCCGCTATCCATCACCACACCACCATCACCACCACCATCATCACCGTCACCCCTCCGAGCATGCCCACTCTAACCCAGCCTCGGCAGCTGTACTCCCAAGTCTACGGCCCCATCCGCCCGTCTCACAGCCGCTTTCAAACGGAAACGGCCCCGCTCTCCGTGTTGAGGGCCGGGCCGAGGGCGAAGGAGCTGACGAGGAGGAAGATGCCGAGGAGGAGGATGGGGAGGAGGAGGAAGAGGAGGAAGATGAGGAGGAGGAAATCGAAGGAAGCGCTAAGGACGGATCAACATCGATCAGACAGGTCGAGGATGAGATGGAGATCGACGCCGAATGCGAGGAGGAAGAATGATGCTCGCTCTAATTCTTCCCATCCACTACCCCTCTCTCTCCCTCCTCCCCTTCCCTCTCTGCTCTTCTTCGCTTCCTTTTGATACATTAAAAAAAAAGAAAAAAGAAACACGTTTCAGTTAATTTGTAGAACTCGTGTGTGTGTGATGTTGTGATCATCTATGGAAAATTCTACGCGTTGTATGGCTGAGTTTTTCTTCTCTCTTCTCTCTAGCTCTTTTCTTTCCTGTCTACTCTATTCATATATAATCCAAATACTCTTGTTTGTGGGTTTGTGGGTTTGTTTGTTTGTTTGTTTGTAATCGATTTAGTAATGGATATATCCTGGTTGTTGATTGTTCTGAAGTAATCATTGTCGTCATCAGTTATCTCTAAATATTCATTCTTGATTCAATTGCTCTCTCTGTCGCGCTGTTCTCTTTTTCTGTGTCTGCATCTATGAGTAAGTGAGAAGGATACATACACTTTAAATTGTTGGGAGGAAACAATAGCGGGTGGAAAAGGTGTGTTTTTGGGGTGCATGGTGTCCACTTTTATTATCAAGATGAGCTTTTTGAGTGGGTTTTCATCAGAAAAAGTGGGCTGGTACTCCATTTTTGCCGCAAGTTAACACGAAAGATGGTGTGGAGATCAACGGGCCATTCTATTTTTTGGAGGTCATGTTTTTGTCAAGCTTGATTGGCACATACTGCAGGGCCACATGAAAAGCTGACCCAGCCTAATTAATAGATGTTCACGACTATGTAACTGATACAACTTGGGAAAGAACAAGCCAACTAACCCTTTCAAGCAAAGGTGACAACAGTAATTAGAAATATGTATTGTTCAACTTCAACGGTCTGTAAGACTTCCTCACATGTTAGCTATTTTAACTTCATTACTCTCTTGTGAATTAAGGTAAGCGTTTCATCTTTAATCATCATTGGACATGAAACCCAGCCATTGTGATTGAAAAAAGAAAATGTACTTTAAATTTGATGAAATGATTAGACGAAAATAAATGATCAGGAAGGATCACAGAAAAAATGTGGAGAATGTATTCCAAAGCTTTGCCATGGACTATTAGAAAACCAAGTTTATTGGGTAAAAACATAATACTACAGATAAAAAAATTTCTTTGCTAATTTTCCTCAGATTTCCTGGTGATTTGGTTTGAATTGTCTTCCTCACTGAAGATTGAAGCAGCTCTGTCAGAATATTGTTCAATCTTTGCAGAAAGACTTTAATTAAAGCCAACTGATTCAAACTCATGGCAGAAAGTGACCCCAGTTGATCGCATATATTGTTTCCGATCAACAAACATTTCTTGGGACGCAATAGTGACACAAACAAACATTGAACTCTTGCCGTGCAATTGCAACAGCCGAACCCAGCCGAACCTAAGTAACTCAAGCCGCTAATAGGCAGACCAGCCCCGCGTCTCACTGGAGAGGTGTATAATATTGTGGGGCGCTGTGACATTTGAGGTGTCTAATACTGATAGATATCTTTGTTATAAGTGTTTATCTACCCGAATTGCAACCCCTTCAGTCCTGCACAAGAGACGAGACCCTTGGCTTAAAGGAACCTCGGGGGTCAACTGCGACAAAGGTCTCATGGATGGACTAGATGATTGAATTCGGCTGCTATGTAGGAATAAACTGGCTCATGTTTGATGAAACGACAAGCCAATGAATTGTATGCCCTCTTGTCTTTATATACAACTTTTCTTTCAGTTATGAAACGATTGTTAGGGATGATGCATGATTGTACACACATGCTTTGCTATCTAGTTGGCCATGTGTCTGCTGTGCTTCGTTATAATCCACTGAGGCTACATTCGGGAGCCCTTTCGAAACAAAAATCGTTCTACTGATATTCCTCATCAAAACCCGACCATTCACGTGTTACCTGCTGTCTATTTACGCGATGTTAAAAAATCGAGTTAGACTGCTGACACACTTGATACTCATTACCACTCTAAGCAGAGAGAATCTTTGGACGATTGCGGTTGGAGGCCCGTCTCTCGAGCCTGCGACCATCCAAGGATACCAGAGGAAGAGCATCTGTGCTGCAGAGAAGAAAGGGAAAGAAATTTTCACAGAAGAAATTCCCAGCCAAACCGAACCAAGCCTTGCAGCTTCCATCACTGGTGCGCCATCCACATCATCACCTGGTAACGAATCTACGGCGATTAACGTTGAGGAAAAAGACGGAAAGCAGCGCGACTTGGGAGCTGATCAAGACACAGAAGTTGAAAAATTAAAAACGTGAGTAGAATGAAGTGCTCATGCATAGCTCAGACACTCAAATGCCCCATTGACTTACTTATAGGTGTCACGGGGCTTGTATGCCAAAAAATACAGAAGAAAAATCAAGCAGTAAAGCCAAAAAGAAGAAGAAGCAAACTGCTCTGAAGCAGGCGGATAGGAGACGACAGTCTTTGCTTCCCTTGGAGAATGATGCTTTACAAGCGCAAGAGAGGTGGGTGTTTTGTTTCTTTCCTTATTCTCTTTACTCCATGAGAATTTCCAACTTAACAAAACTAAGCTTATTCATTGGTTGATGTATATATCCAGGAAGCAATGCCAGCCTGATTCTAATGAACCGCGTAAAAATGTAGACCAGCTGGTGGATAGAGCAATTCAAGATGATTGTGGCAGTCAAAAACTCATGGAGGGACTTGGTTGTTCAGATGGCAGTGAATTGGCAGCCCAAAAGATTGATTTGCCAAAAACTTCAATTCCCAGGGAAGGAAAAAATACAAGTATATACATCTCACAAGCTATTGAATGGATTGTTGAGGGTGGAAGAGAATCGGAACTGAGAATACAAGGGACAGCCTCGCAAAGAATACAGATGGCTTTCCAACCAAATGAATTTCCCAATCCTGGTGAAATTTTCCCTGGAGTTATCAAGGGAAAATGGAGTGATGTTGTGCATACTTCACAGCCTGTATTGTTGGAAATTGTCCAACTTATACAATCAAGGGAAAGATCAACAGTAGGGTTTTGTGAATCTGAGATGCCCAAATCTGTGATTAATAAACTCCAAAATTTCATGCTCAAAACATTGAAGGCCCAGTTGAAAATCTCCAATGCTCAGAATCATCTTCCACTTCAAGAACTGAGCAATCAACAATATAAAATACTGAAATTTTTATGGAACTTGAATCAAGACATGTTTGTCCTTCAAATCAAGAAATTGCAAGGTGTAAACCCTAAGCTGAACAAATTTGAACTACACAGGAGAATAATAACATTCACAAATCAAATAGTTCAAAAGACAATTCTTGAGAACTGGGTGCTGATCAAGCAAAGTTTAGCTTCTACAAAGAAGCATGGGCTTAGTTTCTTGAACAAAGTTGAAGAATATTTCAAGTTTAAATGTGAATTTCCTAATCCACTGATTTGGTCAAATGTGAATTCATCAAAGTATTACCCAGAAGATAAGACATGCAATAATCCTAGCCAAACCACTGAAAACATCTACCTATCAGTAATGGGTACTATGGAAAATTACAGGAGGTTTAAAACAGCCAGTGACCTCATCAAAGCATCCCCAAAATGGAACTTGCCAATGGAGACTTGGAAAAACCTTCAAAAGGCAGAAAGACACAATGGAGTCAGTATCCTGAATGTATTCCACTTTATTCACTATCTTGGTTTAGGAATGAAAAATGATATCCACTCTTGGAGTACAGCCAAAGTTGGCAAACACATTACAATACTTAACATCATCATATCTAGCCCCAAATGGTACAGAGAAATTCCATGGTACCAATCAGCTGATAGGGCTTGGTTGAAGGAAACATTCAAGCAAGAATATGATGAAAAATTAAAATGCTTGTGTGAAAGAGCCAAATATATGAAATGGGATTATGAACTAAATTCTACCAGTGATCAGGGGAAGGATTTTGAATCACATGCAGATAATGATGAGGGGATGATCAAAAAGTTAGTTCAGCTTTTGAAGCACCGTGAGGAAGAAAGATTAATTGTAACAGAACATGGCCTTGATGGTGCAATGATGGCTTCACTCAAGCTTTTGAAAGACCAAAATACCAACACAAATGGCATGACAGATTGGGATTCTGTCTGGAATAATTTTCCATCCAAATTTGGAATCACTTCAGAACAAAAAGAATTTTCTAAAATGTGGATTGATTCTAAATTTTAGTGAATAATCCTTCACTTTTCTGATTCCATAAGAATTTGTGCTGGCGAGAGCCTGTCTGGACCCACAGGAAAATATTAAAACATTTACATATATTTGAATAGAGATATATTTTGAGTTTGATTTACACACCAAGATGTTCATTTTGATGGGAACAAGAATACTGACAGTATGCCAGCTGGTCTACACAACATGTGTCCTCACATATCTTGGACTGTTTTGTCATTTTTGTCATCTTTCATATCATAGCACTAGATAAACAAGCTCATTAAATGTTGATTTTGATTCCTCATACACACCCTTGAAGAATTAATTCATCCCACTCACCAATACACACAAACAAGTAAAATTGAACTATGAGTATGACAGAATATATTTACTATTGTACTGGGCAGTTGTGGGGAAAATTGTTCACAAATATTATCGCATGTGAATGTGCTAACATGATAATTAAAAAAAAAACTGAAATACACAACAATAAGTTATAAGGACTTCAAGAGAGAAAGGAGAAGAAAGGAATAAAAAAGGGGGGGGAAAAGGTTAGTTTGAGGAATGGATTCCTTCCACATGTGCTGCCAAGGATTCTTTACTTACCAGTCTAGTGTGAATTTTCTGTGAAATAAACCCAACAGATGAGTAGCAGAAGAAAGGAATAAACAAGGGAGGGAAAAAGGTTAGTTTGTGGGAGGATGAGGAAAGGATTCCTT